CTATTCTATTATTTAAGTAATAGTAATTTTAGTAATAGAATTCCTTGAAGCTGCATTTTTCTGAAATGATCACTTCAGCTTCTTTTTTTTTGTCACCCAACTTTTGACCATTTTCTATATTATTAATGGTCTATTCATTCTGAATCTTTAAATGACGATGCAAAGCAGTATGGGACATCTTCAGTGCATATGAGAGAAAATTTTCAAAAGGGACCCATAGTCAAATGCATTAGACTTACATTTGATTCAAATCATTGTAAAACACATTTCCTGTGTCCTGATTGGCAGAACAAATTAAGCAGAGTGAACACCCAGCATAGAACCTACACTGGGTCATTCACACTAACCAGCAGGTCAGGGTTTACCCCTGTGGACATGGGAGATGCTAGGGCCTCACACCACCACAGCCTGGAAGCTTCAGTATGACCATTAGCCTTGTCCTGGCAACCTATGGATTTGAGAGACCATTACATTTGAAATGGTGTTCAAATCATGTTCCCCAAATAGAAAGTATAGACAATAAAATGCTGAAAATATATATTCATATCTATGTACACAAACACAGACACATGCATGCTTTCATTATTTCTTAGATTTTACAAAGGGTTTTATGTACTCTGCTGAGTTGTGTATGTGGTATATGATCTAGGTCTTGGTAGTCTCTTCCAACACCCACTCAAAAGGCTTCATTGTTCTTGTTTTGTTAAAATCCATGTGACATTTTTATTGCATAGAGTAGTTTGCATGATGACTTCTATATATCTAATACCAGCACACTCTGATCTAGAAATTTATCTTTGGAGAATAAGTAGATAAATGTCTTAGGTTACATATAGAACAGACAAATGAAGCTCATCTCTGGGAATCTTTTTCCTTTTTTTTTTCTTTCTTTCTTTCTCTTTTTTTTTTTACAGAGGAAAAATAACGGCATGTTTTCTGTGAATAGCCACATCGTTTTTATTCCACTTCCTGTTTCCACCATTTGGAGTATTTATAAAGTTTTCCATA